AATATCTATATATATATATATATATATATAAGCCATATTTCTAGTTATATCTAGAATATTTTCAACGTAAAACAATAGGCTTCATAACCTTTAATCGTCAAATAAACTCCCCAAAAAATATTTTTAAGCCTAATTTCAAACGGTTTTTTTTCTGGTTAGTTTATTGATTGATTATATTTCCTTCATTTTCTTGTTTTTATTTTTTACTGATAGTCGATATAATAATCATATTATTATCTATTTTTTATATTATGCAAGCTATTATCATTTCTTGTATGGGGTAAAGGCGTTAAAACTTTTTTTTTGTAAACTATGGATGGGAAAATTGCAGACATGGCCACTATTCTACAGCCTGTTAGCCATTAAATTAAGCATTATTAAAAATTATATTGAACACTATAAGATTTTTTAACGATATTTAATTTATATTATCCTATATTTATATATATAGGATAATATAAATTAAATATCGTTAAAAAATCTTATAGTGTTCAATATAATATTCATTAATTCATTATAAATTGATGCAAAAATGATAGCTGAAATATAAAATAGATTCAATTTTCACCTAAAATAAATCGTTAAAAAATTTTCGGACAAAAGCTTGAATTTTGTATATTACAGTATTTTATTTTGTGTTATATGCTTTTTATGCATTAAAAGCCATGATTTACGTAACTAAAAATCAATATTTGTGTATAAGTTAGTACGTCTACTGTAGTCAGTAAGTATGTAAGTTTACTGTCGATATGTATTTTAAATTTAAAATATGTTTTTTTTAAATATATATGTTTTCCGGGTTCATCTATTCATTCATTTTAAATTGATTTAAAAATGATCAATGAAATGGGAAACATATTCAATTTTCGCATGAACATTTTCTAAAACTTGCTAAAACATTTTCGGATAAAAGTTAGGATTTTATATATTACAGTATTTTAATTTGTATTATTTGCTTTCTGTACATCAAAAGCCATCATTTACATAATTAAAAATCAATATTTGTGTATAAGTAAGTACGTTTACTGAAGTTAGTATGCATGTAAGTTCACTGTGGATATGTATTTTAAATTTAAAATATGTTTTTTTAAATGCATATGTTTTTCCGGGTCCATCTATTCGTTCATTATTAATTGATTTAAAAATGATCAATGGAATGTGAAACATATTCAATTTTCGCATAAAATAACTTGCTAAAATATTTTCGGATAAAAGTTAGGAATTTTAAATATTACAGTATTTTATTTTGTATTATTTGCTTTCTGTACATCAAAAGCCATAATTTACATAATTAAAAATCAATATTTGAGCATAAGTAGATTTCGAAGATTGATGTCGTTTGATCATTAGGAAGAATTGATTAACACCTTGTTTGCATGTGAACAGTTTTTTGACAATGAAAAGGAGGAAAGTCAATTGAAGCGGGAAAAAATTAAAATTCGCAATTGTAATGCAAATCTAGGCGATAGAAATTATTTTAAATTATTTTAATTATTTTATTTTCCTGTCGCATTCAATCCTTTTAACGCTTTTACAGTATGACATGTATTTTAAATTTAAAATATGTTTTTTTTAAAATATATATAATCTTCCGGGTGCATAAAGTAATTCATTCATTATAATTTGATATAAAAATGCTTGCTGAAATATAAAATGTATTCCATATTTACATAAAATAACATGCTGAAACTTTTTTGGGCAAAAGTTACGAATTTAGTACATTACAGTATTTTATTTCGTATTATTTTCCTTATATATATTAAAAGCCATCATTTGCATAATTAAAAATCAATATTTGAGTATAAGTAAGTACAGAAGATTGACGACGTTTGGTCATGAAGAAAATTTGATTAACTCCGAGTTTGCCTGTGAACACTTTTTTGCAAATTGAAAGCAGTAATGCACTGCAAATCATTTGGCTTGTAATTTTACGGAAAAAAATAGTTTCTGTAACTTAGCTTTGTATCAAATATATAGTAATCCAGAAATATTTGCAAATTTAAGTTGTTTTAATTTCTTACGCAAATTATTTAAACTAAAATAAACAAATTTTAAGAATCAATTTTAAATTAGGGTTTTAAAAACACTAGTACTTCTGTAAACAGAAACGGTAAAATAAGTTTGACAGTAAAATAAGGGTAAGGGGTATAACTTTTCAGTATAAAATTTGAAATTGAACTTTTTAATGTAAAATTTCATGTATAAAATTTGTATTCGAAAAGACGCTTTATGTATTTGATATTTGTATTGGAAATCTTGCCTTATTATTTTTTTTCTCTTTTGATAAAGGACAAAAAAAGAAAAAAATCATAGCATACGTTTTTTAAATTCAGTTTCTATGTTGCACCAAATAATTTAAGTTTCCTTCACTTCAAACAATGAAAATTAAACAAAAATACGAATGGGTGAGTCAAATTACCATTCAATGAAAAAGTATTTTTTCGTGAAAGTCAGTTTTTCTTCATGCATAAAAAGTTTTTAAATTATCTCTGAATTCATTATTTCCCAAAAAAAATGATCATGTACATCATTCTAAAAATGTCTTTAAAACATTTTCTGGACGATAAAGGATATCATCATCTTTTTCATAGAATCTTCATGCTATTTTGGTTAAATAGCTATTACGAAAAGAAATGAGGTAGATTCTATAGTTAGCGATTTTCGAACGTAGATTATAGATAAAATTTTTACGTCAAAAAAACTTAACTAACTATGGTAATTTTACTATTATTTATTTTGTTTTTTGTTTGTCAATGTAGTGACATATATTTTTAATGCCATTTTTTTAGACAACCAAGATAAAATGACTCAGATTGTTATGCCATTTATCTGAAAAATAGCAAAATTGTACGATATCCTGTTTTTTTTAATTGCAATATATAGTGTTTACCAAATGAATAGTTCGAAGCATAGGTAAACATATTAAACTTATAGCACCATAACTCATATGAAAAACAGCAAAAAAATTACTATAACACAGTTCTGTAAAGTTCTATAAGTATCATATGAGAGTGATTTTTTTCTTTATTTCGATAAAACTTTTGCTGCACGTGTTTGCAACTCAAGCGAAAAAATAGAGTAGTAAAACCAATTTAAACATAATTTCCTACTTATATATCAGCTTTAAGAGCACATTTATTCATTTACTTATTTACTTGCTTTATATTACCAGCTCTTTTAAAATTTTTAACTACAGTGCGAAAGATCTTAATATCGTTTGAAGCTTTTTTTTTCGTTGAACAAACGAATCAGTAACTATAAATCTTAAAATGATATCTAGAATCAAACCAATGATTTATAATCTATAAAAATAGCATGTAAGAGTTATGATTGGCTCATAGGTCTGAATTTATCCTCAACTATTACTACCGGAAAATAGATTTCTTTCATGCATCTTTGTTACGAGATTTTGAAATTGGAGATCGATGAAAATGGATAATACAGTAATAAAAAAAATAAAAAAATATGGTTATTAAGTAAAAGAATGTATTAATGAAGTAGATGGATAAAAATAATGACTTCGAATTAAATGAGGTGTCATATTTTACTTCTTAATTTTTAAACAAAAATTTCAAATCTTGACATAAGTTTTTTGGGAGAACATGGGGATAATGTTTAAGTTAAAATAATTACAATTGACAATGGGAGACAATGCTTTAAAATTCTGATAAATAACATAAAAACTGCTCAAAGATTTTAATTTCAAATAAAATAAATTATTTTATCACTTGGAAATAAATAAAATTCACTTATATACTTGTAAATAATGCTCAGAAACTATACTTCATATAAAAATATTTATGCTTCAAAGCTGTATAAGAATATTTTTTGCAATTGAAGCATTGAAGCTTTTGCAATTGAAGCTTATAGCATTGCCTTATAACTATTAATTTGTATTAAAAGATTTTAAAGAAATACATATTATGTTTTCTTATGGATTTGAAAAGAGGAAATTTTTTTCAGAAAATTAAATTATAGAAATCTTGAAGCAAAAAAAAACCCATAAATAAAGAAATAAAATCTTAAATATATAAAATTGCTTCAAAATGCATGGTTCAAAATTAAAGATCGAAAATTTTTATTTGAAAATAAAGGATATTTTAATAAAGGTCTTTGTGTGGAAGTTTGAAGAATATACATTTGCTCTATTCTAAATGATATATCAACTCATAACCATGTTTTCTAAATATTATTTGCTATTATAAATTTTTAAAATAACTCTTTTATGAAAATATTTCAAAAATTTTGAGGATTTCTTAATTGATGTAAATCAAATCGTAATAGAAGTAACAGAGATAGAAGATAGTTTTATAATAATTAAATTTTATTACGAAAATGTTTTAGGTAGCTTGAAACCTTTTAATCTTAAAAATAAAAAGTCAAAAGCTAATAAAAGATAAAATTAAAAAATTAATAAAAACCACGATAGAAAATGAAACTTTTCTTACAATAATAAATTTCAATGTACTGAACATTAAAAAAATCCATATTTAAAATGAAGAAAATATGATTTACATGAAATATAGATAAGAATCTAACAAATAGCAAGTCTTTAAATACCAGAAACTAAAATTTGAACTAAGAAGAAAACTTTTTGAGGGCAAAAACTTTCTCGATTACTTACCAACAATCGTAGATAGTAGTAAAAGGAGAGTTCCTGGTACGACATCCATGCAGAACAGAAGTACTGCACGTGCAGCCTGTAACAGGAAAGCACTAACTGTTTAACAGTTCCTTCACCACTCCGTTTACAAGATCCTACTGACTCCAGAAATCCTCTTTCTCTAGGCCCACGTGCTTTAATTCGCTCTCAACTCTTATGACGCATGCGTCCCGTAAATTGAAGCCCCAAAACTTCTCTGGAAAGGTACGCCTGATTCTCGTCATAAAATTCCCCATAACCGCTTACCGAAGGAAATTTTTAAGCCAAATGTTCTCACTTTTTGGGGCAAAAAGTTTCCGCTATACTTCTCTTATATATGTATACATATATATATATATATATATACACACATTA